TCTTTCCGGACCAGCTGAATTATAATGGTGTTATAACAAACGCTAATGTCTATAAATACCCATGATTTTTCGTACATTTTGATCCTCGCCCAATAAACACTCTTCCAGCTTTCTTTTGTTTTCTGATTTTTGCGATTATGGCGCTCTATGCGTTCGAAAGCCATAGTTGTATACCTTATTCTGTGTTAATCAAGTAACGAACATAACAACAGAGTCCAGTAGTAGTTATCATTGATTTGCGTGAGAGCTATGATACTGCCCGGATGCCCAAACCGAAGCAGGTGGTTTTTTAGGGGACCACAACCCAAGCGTTTGACCTGAAGGTCTAATCCATAAGGTAGTGAAGCAAACAGAACAAAACAAGCTTTCCGTATCCACTCGTTTCATATCAACAAGTACTATTTCCTAAATAGTTTTGTTTTGCAAATCACTTAATTACAAAACAAACATTTAGTTAATATGACTTTATAAACCTGATCTTAAGTGACAATGAACGGAAGATTTTCCGGGAAGTAACAAAGGTTTATCTGAACTGTTCGGAAATCCAATGACTTATGTTATTTAAACTGAGGAAAAGAAAGTATTCTTATCGAGCCTGTATTAAATGAAACAGTTTGTCAATAAAAACTTGATTATGCTGTAAGATGTTTATCAACAACATAACATTAAAGATTTCAAAAAGTTTGGGTCCCCCTACAATTTCAGGAGCTTTTTGAGCGTTCTATGATATTTAGAAGAATTAAGTGAGTCTTCCAACTAAATAAGTAACTAACATCACTGACTGTGTTAGCGGTTAACAAGCCATCATAAACGTAGAGCCTAGCACATATATGCAACAGTTCAGGTTCACACATCAATTCAGTACAGTGTGATCGAATCTCAAAATAAATACAAGAATCTTAGAAGTTGTAAAAATATCGGTGGTTAACAGAAAGGACTGGACATCGGTAATATGATTCGAGAAATAAAAATAAATTCGTATACTAGGAAAATATGAGAGAATTAAAAATACCAAGATCTAACAGAAGATAATTTGAGTCTGTTTTTTGCTTAAAATCAACGCTTTCATCAAGAGCTCTTTTTTTGACAAAATTTCATCTTTGTCAAATTTAGGGTTTGTACATTAATTTCATACTATCGTTAACTTAGAATAGTAATAACTCTTTTTCAAAACAACGAATTGGATGGATGAAATAAACTATGTAGAATCATGAAATGTTTCCTGTTGACTACCACCAACCACCATCTTATCTCAACATATTGCATGTAATGTCGAGTCACCTAGACTAGTGGCCACATTGCAACTTGATCGTTAGCATCCGATCTGTACTAAGTAGGACTTGACGTACATAGCATTGATCACCACCCAGTGATCAATCTATTATGAAAAACGCATCACATAAAAATAACCAGATGACCTCATTTCGATGACAAAGATATAAAATCAGCAGTTACTTTTATGACATTAATCTCGGTAGTGAAAATAGTCATAATAAGAGATAAATATTGTTTAATTGTTTTATTATGATTCTCGCACAAATTGAATAATTCATGGATTCTTTTATAGCCATTAGTAGTTTCTCGAAAGATGAATTTTTCTTGAAGTCCTCTCAATATAATCGGGTCCTTATTCATGAAACTTTACTTAGAAGTTTAAAGGTACTACCATACAATCGGTTCAGCTTTGAAATTCAAACTGAAAATGGCAATATTTAACAAATGAGATAACTTCAATTTAGTCAATAACTTTCTTCGTATTTAAGTACAAGCTAAACAATTTGATTAATTCGAAATGTTTGCATAGCTGAAAGTCAAGAAATAAAATTTTATTCAGAGAATAGTGAATTATTTCGTAAGTAACATCAAAATGAAGTTTGAATTAAGGTTATAACAAAGTCCTTGTCGATATTATTATTATTATTATTATTACGTAATGCAATAGAAATTGGTTTTCAATATATTTTTTCTACGACACTGAATCAATCTTCAGTTAGTGGAATTGATAATGGATAGTTTATCTTAGTTCTAGCTCATCCGGAAATATTAAGTTTTCTAATGAGATTATTACTACTAACGAGAGCTTTAGATTTGGATTGTTCACTGAATGAATTTTTCATTGATGAAAATGTTGTTAGTAGTTCAATATGGAAATACTTTTGAATGTATTTCATCCTAATGACTAATGTTAAACTTTGTATTAATAAAAAGCGTTGTTTTACTGATTAACTATTCCGAATTTATATATTACTATTAGAATTTATTATCTTGTTTATGTCTTTTTAGAGCGAATAAACAAAGTCATAAATCATAAAATTTTAAAGGTAGAAAAGAGGAAACTTGTTCAATTCATAATTGTTACAATATTTCGTCCGTAGTTAACTATATATATATGTATATACTGTTCAACAGGTTCGAGTTACATTTATCCGAAAGTGTTTTTATTCATAAAACTCTCATCAAAGTCTATGAATTAACAGATAATCTAATAAAAAGGATAATTTTAATGATAACCATTCTAACTATAAAGTGTTAAGAAAGTTAGTTGTAATACTACTGTGGTGCGGGCTACTTATATTGACATAAGTAGTATATAACGCGAGTCAGGAATGTAATGTCTGGCGGCAGAAGATCATCATTGTAAGTCAAATTTTCGACAACAAAAAATATACTTTAATAATGATTGGCATTAAACACACAAAATCTATGTTCAGAGCTTTGTATAAATGACTTCTAACTATAATACATCAAATTTAACCATCGGAATAAATAACAAATTTTGAACTATCTTTTAAAGATTATCTTAATTAATAACAATGAAATATGGATGTTCTGTAGTTGGTTTATTTTTACTGTAGCAGTAAAAGGTAACATACTCGAACAAGAAAGTGAATATACAAACCAAACTTGACTCAATTTATGTGATAACTATTACCAACTGGTCGTTCAATAAAACTGTATGTGTATATAAAGAGAGAGAGAGTGACAGAGAGAGCGAATAATTGTAGTACACTTATGAATAATGGTATGATATGAGTATTCTAAATTATCTAGATTTATCAATAAACTTGCTATATGTTTGCATCTTTTAGTAGATCCTTAATGCAAAAAATGCGCTTGTGGTCAATATTAAATACATCAAAACAACTAAAGTCATCTTAGTAAAACATGTTCACTGATTTAAAAATGATGTTGAATGTGGTTAGATACATATTACTATAATTACATAACGTTTTTATTCAGCAAAATACTAAGAAATCTGTGATACAATAGACAAAGCTAAAAGTTTTTAGTTAACAGTTGACATACTTTAATGACAAAGAATAAAGTTGTTCTCATTATATGATTGTATATTTGAAACATAACTTCGACTATTATATTTTGTTTTGACTTATACTAAATGAAATTTGGTAAGTTATTCCACATTCGGTGGTTTCCAAACAGTTTACCACTTATGAGAATAAAGTGTTAACTACCTAGTTACTCAATAAGTACCTTAACTTTTGTATAACATTTCAATAAACAATAATAAACAATCTGAATTCTGCACTATATACATTTCAATTTTGAATCGGATACAGAAGGCTCGACTAGCTTTTGTCAACTTGCGTCATTTATGGCGTAGTCGAGATATCCGTCTATCAACTAAAGGACGAGTTTACTGTGCAGCAGTTCGTTCCGTCCTACTTTATGGCAGTGAAACATGGCCGGTAAGAGTATAGGATCTTCCTAGGTTACTAGTATTCAACCACAGGTGTCTTCGAAACATTGCTCGTATATCCTGGGACCATCGAGTAAGTAACGCAGTTGTTAGGAAACGGGTACTAGATAAGAATGGTAAATCTATTGATGAAGTAGTGAAACTTCATCAGTTGAGATGGCTGGGACACGTGTTACGTATGCCCAACAACCGACTGCCTCGACGTGCGATATTCGATGGTATAGGAGTAGATTGGAAGAAAGCTTGGGGCGTCCAGATGAAAACATGGCGCAAGTCCATGAAGTCACTGACAAGTGAACTGAGTCATGTTGATAGGTGTAGACTACCTGGTTGGGGACCGCGAGATGATAGGAACCGATAGTTAGAGACCCTGAATGACATGGCTCAAAATCGTTTGCAATGGCTCAGATATATCCACTCTTTGTGTTCTCCTAAATTCTAATCTCCTGAATCCTCCTTGTCTCTTCTTTTTCTCTTTTCCAAATTTATTTCACTGGATTATACTCTCTAAATTACATTTTCAAACCCTAATCTTTCCGATTACTGCTTATACTCTTACCGCCTCTACCACTACGGGATTTGAATGGACAACTGCATCTCTGTGCTAATGTGGTATGGCAACTCGAACTAATGTACGTACGTACGAAGTTCTACATTGTCACTGACTGACTGACAAATTACTAGCATATCATACATAATAATTTATTCTTCTAATCTCAAGATATGTAATCATTAATAAAAATTGTGTAACATTTCATATATTAAAACTATGACTACCTAATTGAAACAGTTGCCTTCTTTTTTTTAATGATAAAGTCACCTTGTACCTACACTTTCGTTTAGTTGAAAATACAATTAATGAATGTAGATACCGATATCCGTTTGATATCACTTCATGTATCTTTTTTCTTTCTTTTTTTTTTAAAGAAAAGAATCTCATTTCGTACGAATGAAAAGAAACGGTGTGTATTATAACAACTAGTCAATTCATTCTAATATTTAATAATAACCTAGACTTAATTGTAAAATTACAATCTTCTCTCTTCTCTATTAACATTGTTACCATTTAAAAAAACAAACTTAATTTTCCACCATTTATACAAAGAAATATTCACACTTATTTATTATACCTGTCAGTCAAACAATCTGTCTATAATTATTCAACTTTATATAGTCTAGATTAGATTGTGGACAGACACATTTTTATATGTGGTTAGACAAATAAATGTACAGACATTCAAATGAATAATATAATAGGGAGGCGATGGGAACTAAACAACTTACCATTATTTTAATTATTATGTATATATATACTAATAATTTGTGTTAAAATAGACAAAAACAGGTAGCTCTCAATTATCTTGTTTTTCTACTTTAAACATGTTTACAAGCATAGTGAATCCACAATGTATATACATCACTATATACGAATAAACCTTTATTTGAATATGATCGAAATTAGATTTTAGAAAATATTCTTTGATTATTATCAAATATTATCATAGTGAAACTATTTTACTTCTATTATTGGAACGTATAAAAGTTTTTTCCATTTACTCATTAAAATTAAGTAGTTTGTTTGTAAGTAGTATTAAAAAAGAAGAAAAAAACAAATAAACAAACAAACGAACCGTTCTGATGTGGATTATTCATTCTACGTGATAAATTACTATATATGTAAGTGATCTTATTAACAATTAATAATTTATATGATTAATTTCTTTATTTTTATAATTATTTAAATATTTTGACAATGATAGATGGTAGCGCAATATCATGAGTTGGTTGAAATTAGACATTAACAACATTGGATATTGACCTGATCAGTGATCTAGAGATTAAGTGTTCGAGAGCGAAACCGACAAATCCTTGGTTTGAATTCTACAGATGAGATTGTGGATACGCACTGATAAGGAGTCCTATACTAGGACAAAATGACCGTTCAATACTTTCAAGTTATCAATGATGATCTAGCTTACATTGACTCATGAATTCAATTATTAAAAAACTTAGATACATCTGCGGTGTAATCTGTTAGACTTTAAGAAAGTTAACTAAAATGGAGAAATATTATTCCAGTTTTATTTTATATCTAGTCAGATTAGATGAATTAAAACACAATAATTTGATTATACAAACTACCTATTGGTTACGTAACTAAACATTAAATGTTACAAAGTTATTCTGTTTTAAGTTGAAATCTTTTCAGCTTAAATAACTAATATATTCAAGTATACTCTCATATAAATAATGACACTGAACTAACACTTAAATATCTCTAGGGTTCTTATACCTCTTTAAATTCAACAGATTTATTAAGATATTACTTATATATTCCATTGACTACATCGAAAATATCAAAACGAAACTATATTCACTTAGGTAAATTATAAACAAAATTATGTTAGATTCACTTAGTGTTCTTTTACTTGTATCTTCCGATTGTTATTTAGGACTGCAATTGATTTGTCTCATTTGGCTTATTTGCATCCTGTGCAGATTGCCTCCATATAGCCTTAAGTCACAAGCTTCTTAATGTATTAAAACTAAAGATATTTTATTTATATCAAGTTTTGTTTATTATTATTATTATTATTGTTATTATTATTATTATTATTATTGTCTCAACGTATTTCAATACAATTGGCTTGATTACATTTGAATTGTTCGGAAAAAATAAATGAATATGCTTTCTGAATTTAGAAAATAAAGCTGCTATCATAAAACTGTCTTATAGATACAAATTAACAGGTCACTAAAAGTTGTCTATGCATTTCTAAAGCTGATAATTGGATTTCAACATAATCGTTTTAATGTATGATAATCGTTGTTAGATCGAAAGTTTCTGAGATCCGTTCTGTATAGATCTGTGAGTATGCAGTGTTATGAAGTTCCAGAGTAGAACATGGGACCTTTTTAGTGTTCTTCGATTTTCAGTGTTTTTTCAAAACAATCTCAGTTAACAGTTACAACTGTCTTTAAACTGAATATTTCCTACAAATCTCATGTATTACTATCAATAAAATATTGATTTAATCGTGTGTTTAAAGTTTACTGTTATGATTATAAACTTTGACTTGTTATTGACCGTCTATAGTTTTCTGCGTTAAAACTATTTAAGGTCTTTAAAGCCCGTCTCCATAGGCTTGTTACTACACTTTACGATGTGCATTTAAGACATATGCAGAAAAAAAAGCTTCAGACCAGACAATAGGTACTCAGTATAGGTAAGCTATGGCTAGGAATTTAATCCATGACGTGGGTTTCATCCTATTCGGTACACGTCATTTTGATGTACCCTGGTTCCAGTGTTGACGTTTTTACTGCTAGTCACTAAACGAATATATTAAAAATGTGTAACTGAAAGGTATCTCAAGGTATGTATGCCAACATAGAATAATCAATTGTAGTCATTTATGTAAACAACGGCAAAATTCAAACCGTTACATATAAGGTAACATATATTTACATTTGTTTGTATATGACTATTAAATTATCAAATGTTCATTACATTATCAACTATTTTAAACTGTTATATTTAACTTGTCTTAACCTGCTATGTAAGATTTTCAAACATGTCTACTTACTTAAAAATGTCAAATATTGAGTTTTGTGAACTTTGCATAAACTATTGATAAATGAAGCTGGAGAATGTTTTGAAAGACTTTCAGCATGAAATACTACTACTTGGTAAAAATAATCATGATTTTCGGGTATCAATGTTTGTGTTTAAAGTTAGATTTATTGAAAGTGTAATTAAGTGTACATATATGAGTCATTGAAAAAAGTCATTGCTTCATCCTTATCATATACAAATTGATACATATTCAGTGTTAGATTTCATCAAAACAGTTTTATTCAACTTATGAGCAGAAAGTGGAAGATCAATATCTTCTTTGTTCAATGTGTGAATTATATCCATCAGTTTCGGACATTTTAACATTGGTTTATCATTTGAATACTGAGTATTAGAGTACAACCTACATAAGAGATTTCATTCTAAGCCCTTTGTTTCACTATATTTGTGTTTTTCATTCGTATCATTCGGGTACTGTACACTAATATGTTCATAACGAATACTATCCGACTAATATGGACACTTGAAATGAAAAATTTAGTGAAAATTAAACCACAGTATATGAAACTTACCTACTAAATTAATGGAAAGATGGGATTAAATACTAAATGCAACATATTTATTGAACAATGAACACGTTTTGCTTAACTTCGGCCAAGTCGAATGTAAATTAGACTTTACGTATACGATTTCTTCTGAGTGCTTATTGATTTTGTAGTCACCAGTTTAAATGCAACTAATCAAACCCCTATTAGCTTATTGAATGAAAATTAAGGAAGCACGATCAGTCACTTAGTAAACTAATTACTTTTAAATGACTGGTTATATTTCAAATTAGTCAGAAAACTATAATAAAATATCCATGGAGGAAGTTATATTCAAAATATTTATTAGCATGTGCTGAATTGTAGTCTGATTTGTCAACAAAACAACAAATTTTACTATCATTATCAAATAAGACAAAACAATTAATTAGAGACTTTTCCATTAGTTGTATTTTAGTATAATCTACATGACTAATTAGTTGTTTTTAAACTGAAAATTAGTCATATCTATATAATTACACTTATTATCAGATTGGGGGGCTTTTTTGTGGAGGTTGTAGTAATTCACTAGTTAAATTCATTAGTCGATTAAAGCTAGACCACTTAGGTTCGAATCCTGCGTGCGGGATCGTGGATGCACATTGCTGATAAGTCGTATACTAGGATGAAACGGCCGTCCATTGCTTCTAGGTTTTCTATGGTGGTCTATCTTTAATCGACTCGTGAATTCAACTATTGATTTATACATATCTCGATTTATCTCATTATTAAATTAAATAATTTGAAATGTAATTGTTTAATTAAACGATTTGTATTAGGAAAAAATACAGTAATTAAGGATATAGACCATTGTAATAAAACAAATCGTTTTGTTTACAATTAAAGGAAATTACTACACTATTTATTGATTATGAATTGTATTTATATTTTTGACTTGAAATCAGAAAAGAAAAACAAAATGATCTTCCGCTCATATTAAATTTTTAAAGTAGATTATGACTTCAACACATGGTTGAGGCTCCATGTGCCGACACTTTCAAAAGGAAGTTGAATCAACTGAGAGACCATCATTGTCAGGATGAATACAGGCCATCAAGCCTCTTATCCTTTCCAAATTGAAACTGATTGAAATCAATGGTATAACGTTTGTAAATTACCCAATTAACTTTTTGGAAAACTTGGAGCTTACAATGAATTTGTTGTTGTTGTTAATATGATACACATGTTTTACAGCTCTCAGAAGAAAAATGTCTAATCTAAACATAAAATAAGATTAGGAAATTTGTATATCATAAATATGTATATTTTTTAAAAATTAGATAAATGTAAGTCAAAGTTTTAGTTTAGGAAAGAAATCTCATTGAAAAATGTATAACTTCAGTATTCATAATTGTCTGTTATTAGATGAACACTTCCTAGGAGTCCCATACTATGATTGTCTAATCTAATATTAAACTTTAATGTAAACAATGGGATTCAATAATCTCCATAAAATCTTTATAGTATTGCATAGTACGTCAATTATCTCATAATTACTTCGAGACTTATAATTTCTATGGGAAGGGGGATCTCGCGTGAGGGATAGTGAATGTGCACTGAAGAGGAGTCCCATACTAGGACAAAATGGCCGTCCAATGCTTCTAGGTTTTCAGTATTGGTGTAGCTTCGATCGACTAATGAATTAAACTTATTACATTACTTCAAGATCTATTTATTGCCTAGGTCTAAGAATCAGAGAAGAAAGTTCCTATCAGAATATGAAGATTAATATTATTATTTTATAAATCATGAAAACTTAAAAGAACTTGTCAATTTCTTTACTAATTAAAAAAATTCCCCTAAAATGTATTTACTACTTATTTCATAAGTACATTAACATTAATTTAAAGTGTATGTTTTTCTTGTTTAACTGTTTTTTAATTGTCTTTGTTCAATGCTCCAGTTTTCATTCTTTCTTCTTCTATTAATGTATTCCTTCAATGAAGAATAAAATGAACTTTAATAATAATTACAAACTAATAAAAAAGTCGTATCAGAAGAGGTTTTGTGAAGATTTTAGTAATTTAAATTGTTGAGACCATGAGTCAATTGAAACTAGACCAGCGTGGAAAACCTAGAAGCATTAAACGGCTATCCCATCCTAGTATGGGACTCCTCAGTAGTTCACATACACGATCCCGCCTCATTGGACTCGAAGCCAAGACCTATCAGTCTGGCGCGCGAACGCTTAACCTCTAGACCACTGAACTGTCCGGCATCCAACAATGTTAATATCTAACTTCAACTAATCCACAAAATTGAGCGACACACCCACCACTGTCATCACTTTCTTTTCATATCTATAGGTCATTAATTTCTTTGAGTATATCTTGTTTATATCCACTTATCCCTTTTGTGAATATATGATTAGTTCATTGGTTAATATGTATTGTGTACTTATAAATCTATACGATTAATCTATCTGTTTTTTTTGTTGTTGTCATTGTTCCTTCGTCTTGGTATGAGTCATTTAGTAAACACGGAAATAAAGATGTCACTATACTAGTATACTAATC